ATTCTATGAGGGTCTACAGGCTGTAGTTTAGCGAGACCTTTGGAGTATTTTTTGGAAACATCGAATAGCCCTATTTTAAATTTGGGTACCTCGAGCTCCATAGGTTTTGCCTCCAAAAGGCTTTCGCAAATAGAAATGTATTGTACACCACGAAAAAATATTCATTACTTAAGCTAGACAGCTTATAAAAAGAACGGCTTGCAACAAATGATCACAGGTATTAACCCTTCTAATTCGACCATAGCGGATTATCCGGAATTTAGTTTCAGGAGTGGAAGTATTCCGCTTTGTCCGCAACAAGCCTGGCGGTGTCAAAATCCGCATATAGAGATTTGTATATGATAAATTTTACCAGGTCAACTGTAGCGAGTCTGGGCGGTGAGACATGGACATTTTGGGGAAAGGTTTAGGGCTACAGATATAAGAATCGACGGGAGGCTCCCTGTTTTTCATTTCGAGATCTGCGCCGGAGAATATACCTGCATTCTGGACATGCCGTTCTTCACTATCACGACAGAGAAATCCATCTCCCAGATCTGGAAGGAGCTCAGCAAGATAGGCTGGAAGTATCGCACGTCGCGGGGGCTGAGCAATGACGGCAGATATGTGCCGCCGGGAGGAAGTCTTTCCGAAACAGAGGGTGTTGACTACTTCCTCGGTGCGTAGCTGTGAGTTGTAAGCTGAGAGACAAGGTCTTGTATGCTTTTGTGTACAGGTAACTACCGTTTGATGCTGGTACTGTCGGAAGCAAGGCTGGCTTGCTTTTAAAACGGAAACGGAGCCCCCTGCTGCATCTGAAGCAGCTCGCCCGACCGCTGCTGCGTCAGAGGCTACCTCGCCGACTCCCGCTGCGCCTGAAGTCGCACCACCGGCTGCTACTGTGCCTGAAACTACCTCGTCTGCTCCTATCGAGTCCGTCGAGTCATCATCACCCCGTGTTGCCTTGGCTGCGCAGCCAAGCCTACTCCGCGAAAGCCTAGGCGTGCAGCGAAGGCTACTTTGCAAGACGATGACCAAGTGCCACAAGCTGTTGTCCCCCCGACACGAGCGGAATCCAAGCGGAAGGCGTGTGGACCGAACACCAAACCCAAGCGGTGTCGCAGCAGTACGTTCGACATCTGATGGATTCTCGAACAATACTAACAAACATCTTTCGGGTTATGCAGGTCGTGCTATTCAGGTGACTACGGAAGTTGATCCAGATACAGCCGTTCAGGAGGTTCCGAATCATCCGGCCTCTGTTCAGGATGGTATTGTGCAAGGTGTTCAGGAGATTCCGGTAGAAGCTGCTCGCGATCTGGAATTGCCAGCAACGGAGGCGCCGATTAGAGCGGTAAATGCAGGCCGACGTGGAGTTACTCTGGATGACTTTGATGGTGATGGTTTCCTTGCTGCTCTGAGGCGTGATAGGCTTTTTGAGTTCGACGGTGAAGACCATTTCAACGTTGGTGATGGGGACTGGTTACTGTCGCTTGATTCCGATGCTGAAGGAGATGAAGAGTCGAACCTGCAAGATGAGAACGACGCCGTTGACGATGACGACTTTGGATCTGCTGTGGTGGTGAAAGTGGAGATGATGTAGGAGTGGGATCCGACGAGGTCCCCGTTGAGTTCGATCTTACAGCTGAGGATTTGGATTGCCTCCAGGAAGACGAACCGGACGTGTACATGGAGGCAGAATCTGGTCGCGTTCAACACGATGTATCAACTCTCTACGAAGGTCCATCTGGCCCCACACGAACCGCGCTTGCGTATGCTGAAGCCCCCTGGCGATGTTTTACTTCTTCCTACCCAAGGAGCTCTGGCGCAAGATCGCGGCGGAAACCAACAACTATCGACGAGAAAGTATTGATGCCGTGGCCCAGTAGATGCGTACCCGCACTCGGCATCGCCAACAATCGGTTCCGGCAACTCCAGTGCTCACACTGGATATGTACCGGAGAAAGCTGGCTCGTAAGAGCACTATCCAACCCCACGAGATCGTTCGCTTCATCGGGCCGCTGGTTGCAAGGGCGTTGGAGCCTCGCCGAGAAAGTCTTAGCCGTCATTGGGCTACAAGAGCTGAATGTGCACTCTCTCGTGGACTTTCGGCCAGTTTATGAGTCATGACAGATTCCACGACTTTGCCAGATATCTCCACTTCAACGACAACAACTTACAGAGTGGCAGCAATGACTGAGCGCTCAAGATTCGTTCTGATTCAAGCTTTGCAGACGACGTTCTTTCGTGAATATAAGCTCGGCGCTAAGATCTCATTCGACGAGGGAATGGTGCCAATGCGCCACCGACCGAACCCAATGCGGCAATACATGCCTGCCAAGCCGAACAAGTGGGGGACAAAGTTCTACTTGACGTACTGCGCCGACACCGCATATTGCGCCAGGTACTGAGTGTGACTATCACGGATATCCGTCATATGTGACGGATATACGTGATTTTATCATAACGTTGATCCGTTATGCGTTCGGCAAGAGCCGTAATGCTTTTAATCGATTACTAACCAATATGTGCTGTTTCGTGTAGGCTGGGCATTTACTGCGGTAAAACGGACGCTAAAGAAGATTCTGTGGCTCAGCGGGCAGTGGTGAAGAGCCTAGCCAAGGTTCGTGAAGGACAGCCTGCAGGACGACTTGTTTGTACAAACAACTTTTACACTTCGATACCGCTGTCGCCCAAACAGCTCAGCATGGGCCACTGTCACGTCGGTACTATCCGCAAAGACCGTAAGGGATGGTGCAAGGCAATCGACTTTGGGCAGAAGAAGCGTCCAAAGCGGATGTCACGCGGTTTGCATCGTATTGCGGTTTGAAGAGATCGACCTGAGTTTGTTGCGCTGTCATGGATGGATATCAAGCCCATGATATTTCTGGCGACGGGATGCTCGACAAAAATAACGCATGTCTCCCGTCGAGAGTCCGGTGGTACGATCTCGCAAGTCCCCTGCCCCCAGCTTGTACGTGATTACTACGAGGCCATGGGAGGTGCGACGTGCACGATCAGCTGTGCTTGCAGAGATACTCGATCCAGCGCGCCATCCGGATGAGGAAGTACTACAAAACCATCTTTTTGGGGCTGGTAGATATCGCGATGGTAAACGCGTTTATTGTGCACAAGATTGCGATATGCGCTCGCGAACGGACTGTGCCAACACATGCAGTGTTCATGAGGCGGTTGCACATCGCGCTACTGGGACAATCGAATGAGGACTTCAATGGAGACGACGACCTAGCGGATCTCGTCACCGAGCCGCTACCTCGCAGCGCGCACACGCTGGAGCTAACAGACGAGAGGAACGGTGCGAAGCGGCGCCAGTGGCTGTGCAAGGTATGCTCTGCTTACGCAGGTCCTGGAGTTCGAAGTTTCGAGACGAGTTATTCCTGCCCGACATGCACCAAAGTCAAAAAGGGGCGCGTTACCTTGTGCAACAAGGCACGCAGGCTGCAGCATGGCAGCGTTCTCACCTGCAACCAGAATTGGCACCAGAGCTGGCGCAACGCGATGGTCATTCCGCCCGAGTTGTTGCACAAGATTCGCTTCGTGAACCGACGTCGGCGCGAGGTGTATGACAGCGACGATGATGAAAGCGAGTAGAGAGAATGAAGTGATTCTTGAGTGGTGGTCATTGTCGTGTCGTACTTGTAAAGTGTGAAACAATTTGCAGGGAGATCGGAACAGAGAGTTATTTGCACGTATTTTGTTCTACCCATCTTCTCGCATCAGCCAATGATCTGCCTTCCCTTGTCCACGTGTCACGCGAAAGGGCTTCAAACAGGATATATAGTACTGATTTTCCGGCATATGTTAATTCATATATTAGTAATTCAGGATAATCCGGAACGTCCGCCGTAGTAGAGGGGTTAAATTATGAAGCTTTGGTCTAATGATCCATAAAAGTTTTGTTAAATCAGTACAATCGTCAATTGCTGTTACAAGGGTATTTATTTAATCAGGATTACAATAGCTCAGCGACCTCGTAGGTAGATCAAGAAGCCCGTACGCTTAGCTTCCGTAGCATGAATGGAGGGGCGGGGGGTAGAATTGAATTACAAGCTGCACGCCAAGACCCGAAAGTCACCGGTAATTGATATAATGTAAGCATCTAATAACGGATATTACTTGTGCATTTGAAATGACACATCGATAGCTCCCGGTTGATGCTGGACGCTTAGCTCACGTATCATGATTGAAAGAAGTAATCAGGTGGCCGCCGGGATGGTAACCAAGCAATCACCGGTGGTTGATATGATATAAGCGTATAATAACGGGTATTAATTGTGTATTTGCAGAGACAGATCGTCAGTTTCTGGCTTACGCTTATCACGAAATTTTTGGTCCTAAAATATTGTAGAATAACGATTTCTTTTTTTTCACTTCCGGTACTAAATTCTGTATTACTCTACCGATTTGAACATTTATCTCCAAGCACTACCAGTGGTATTATAGTACCAGTGGTACTGTAGCTAGAGGATTGGGCTGATAGTACCAGCCAATCCTCTACTACTATAGGCTCTACTTGTAGTTACAGACACTCCACGACTGAACGACATCGGTGGTATCGTAATCTTTTGCAAGCCGATATAGTTAATGATTTGGTCGGTTTGGCACACCGACCAAATCAAAAATATTATCACAATCTAATTACACGTACCGGCATGCACTTCTCAACATTATTCACAGTATAAGCGTATTTTGCAGCTAGAGTACGTGATTTAGTTTTGATACATGAGTCCATGTGCGCTGTAGGTGAGGGGGCAATTGATTAGGACATTCCGAAGTTGGTTTGAACGTGCACTGATAACATTGTGACTTTGGACTCCATACACAATTAGGTTATGCAGGGAACATAAATGAGCGGTACTTACAAATTTAATAATGCCCATACAGAAGAAAAACCCTCACCCTTTCGCAATTACGTGCGAACATGTCTTTAACCCTTTTTGAACTACAGAGCTAACAATTCAAACCGCCAGTTCTCGTTTTGCTGACAGCTACTCAGGTCAATGCGGAATCACTGGATTGTTACGCTGCTTGCTGTCGCTATCTTTGCAGCTGGAAATGCTGCCGTGGCGACGACGGCCGTCGGTCACCAGGTCCTCAGCTCTTCGACGCGTAAGTTGCGAGCCCACACTGAAGTTGGCGACGAGAGAGCAAACAGTCCAAGCCTCAGTGTCTATGAGAACCTCGCTAGAGCTCTACCGAAACTTTTACAGGACGATGAGATAACGGTGCTGGCAGGTAAGGCGCTGGCAAAGAAAACCTCCTCGTCGGACGTTGTTTTTCTGATGCTCGGGCTTGACAAGGGGCTGCCAGGGATCCTAAGCAACCCCAACCTAAAACAATTTGCTTACTATCTCGAATTAACGGAAAAAGCGCCGACTCAGACCCTGGTTACAAAGTTGGTCAATCAATACGGAGACGACGTGTTGGCGAAATACCTCTTCGATATCAAACACCATGCGATCAATGTGAACAAGGGAGTCAAAGACGAAGCTGCGTCGCTGCAAGTTGCGCAGTTTATCAAATGGATCTATGAAGGGGTAACGCCGTCTAAGGTGAGGGAAAAGCTCGACGTCCGTCCTGAAACGTGGAGCCGGAACCCCTATGAAGGTGTGTATGACGAGTTCACTCGCGGCTATATTGCTATAAGAAGCAAGTCAAGGAGCCCCGTGGCTATTTGAATACTTCTTGGTTGATATGTCAATACAGCAAAATAGTAGATCCTGCATTCTCGACTTGAGTATGATAATTCTTAATATTCCTTGTCCTGCTACCAGAGCCGACGGACCCGAAGCTGCGAAGTACGGAATTCGATTCACATGAAAGTATGCAGCGATGACAAAAAGAACCTTCACGGTATCAATGATGCGATATTTTAACTTTTAATAAAAAACTGTTCCTGGTGATCCACGTTGAACCTGAACCTGAAACCAAGCAATAGATGATCATGATCCAAGCATAGGTTACCGGTACACATTGTCAAAAAGTCGTGTAGGAATATTTTTTTTTAATTTATAAGAGGGCGCTGCCATTTGATGATAAAACCCTTTAAATTATTGGTAGAAAGGTAATTTTTACTGTTTCCTTGCGCGCATGTATAGCAGATTTCGTTGCTGAAGCGACTGCGAAAAAAGCTTGCTTGTCTAATTTTAGCATGACCTAACAGCATAATAACTTCGAGAACAAGGTGTACTTTCAGGCAGAACCATCGCGGTAGTGCCTTGTCCGTGGTGCACGTCCATGTTTGTTACCACTTAGTACATCTAAACACACGGATGCCACTCGTTCAGCTCCGAATAGTACGCCAACGCGCTCTGCATCCTGCACAATCTGTAATAAGCCTTGTAGTCCCCCTCCTTGCTGTTCATGTCAACATCCTAGAGCTCGTAGAATTTTGAATACTGCTAGTGGTTAATTCTGTCCAACCCTATGCACAGGTCGGCCAGGAGGTGGTTGTATTGAATCCGTCCTCTGGGGAGAACGGACCTGAAATGGTTTACACTATTAATAAAGCGACTACCGGGTTTAGTACCCCCCCCCCCCTACCGCGTACGAAACGTCTTTGGTGAGCTCTTTTTTAATCGCCAAGTCGCTGAGCTTCGATGTCGAAGAGCTTTATGAATGGCAACAGGGCTCCCAGTGGGTTTTTGTAGGCTGGATTCTAATCCCGAGTTTTATAAATTGTTTGTGCAGGGTGTTTAGCTTAGTAAAGTCCTGAAGGATCCATGGTACCAATAGCCCATTACCCACCCACCCCTCTTGGGTTGATGTGACGACTGGTGAGAGCACGGCGCAGAGGAACAGCGACGAGGAACGAGTCGCGTGGCGAGGAGCGAAGCGGAGGAGGGCGGCGAGAGTCCAACGAAGGGGACTCGAAGGTAAGGCGTAGGAGGCAGTTGATGTGCCTCGAAGAAGGTAAATTGGAAAGTGAGATTGAAATGGTTAGTTGTTTGTCGGCTACGAGGAAGTGCTTGTTAGCATTCCCTTGGTATCCTATGTAAGTATATGCATTTCACTATACTAGATTCTAAGTAGTCCTTGAGTCGAATCTTGAAGTAGCGTAGCGTAGTAGTGAACCGCGGTTCATTTGAACCGGGTCAGAATCTCCATAGTGAATTCAAATGAAACAGAATGACTGTCATTGAAGTTCCATGTTTGGCAATACTCGTCCAAACATGGTGATTGCCTTCCGGTCAGGCGTGTGTCTGCCTGGCCGTTCATTGGCAACTTAAGAAGACAGTTGGCAGTCAGCAAAGACAAGTAGGAAAGAAAATAGAAGTAAGTAGGACGCATTGGTACCAACGTCATGGCCATCGCTGGCTGTGACGTTGGTGCGTCGTTACATCCTCCCGGACTTGACTTCTCGTTGACGCTTGCTGAAGTCGGAAACGAGAACCTTCCAATGCGACACATGGCGGATGTCTTTTTCGCGCTCCCAGGTTGCTTCGTGATCTGGCAATCCGTGCCATTTCACAAGCCATTCAGGTTTGCGATTGAATTGACTCTTGCAAAGAAGCTTCTCGATGATGTGCATCGTTGCGCCAGTGTCGTCGTCAATAATCAGTCTTGAGGCCTTTGGGATAGGACGAGTCTTAAAACGCGACGGGTTTTCAGCGTAATGACTCAACACGTCCACATTGAACGTGGAGTTCAGACGACTCATGCTTCGCGGAAGTATCAACTTGGCCACATTCGGGTTGATCATTTTCACAATCTCGAATGGTCCAATCTTGCGAGCAGCGAGCTTAGCCCGTTTCCCATCAATGTCTTGAGTCACATGGGCGGAAGGAATGCGACGTGTATCCAGCATGACTAAGTCTCCTTCCTTGAAGTGATCGATGATCGCTTCTTGTCATAGTACTTCTTCTGACGTTCTTGGGCTTGAAGAAGATGCTTATTTGCCAAATCAATGATCTCTTGGCGTTTGTCTTGGAACTGTTTCGCATATTCAACAATTCCACGCTGAATTTGAGTCATGGTACTGGGATTGCTCAAAGGATTCAACGGATTCCGTTCCTTGCGTCCAGTATCAACTTCAAAGGGCGACATACCGGTAGATGCGCTGACGAGAGTAGCATGAGCATACTCAATCGTTCCGAAATTATCCGACCAATCACGTCCGTGGTACGATATCATGCAGCGTAGAGCGTCTTCCAGAATCAGATTCTGGCGTTCGGTTTGTCCATCGGCTTGGGCACGATAGGAAGTTGTCATGTGCAGACGAATTCCCATTAGCTTAGCCAAGGATGACCAGAACTTGGAGACGAACTTGAAATCTCGATCACTGATGATGATCGATGGTAAACCGTGATGGCGAACAACGCAATCAAAGAAGTGATACGCAGTCTTCTGTGCATCATCAGTCCGGTTGCACGCACGATACTTCGGGCGCTTGGACACCTTGTCGACAACAGTCAAGATTGCATCAAAACCATTGGAATCAGGTAATCCAGTGATAAAGTCCATAGAGACGACAGACCAGCATTCCTCAGGAATCGGAATGGGAATCATCTTGCCATTCTTGCGAGCATTGCTGTGTTTCCAGCGAGTGCAAGTTTCACAACTTTGCACATAATCGCGAACGTCTCGTTCCAAGGTGGGCCAATGATACCATTGCGAAATGCGAAGGTACGTTCGATGAGCTCCAGGATGAGCAGCAATATTGGAGTCATGGAAGCAAGAGATGATGGAAGTTCGAAGATGATTGTCCCGAGTAAACATAACACACAAGCGCATCATCGTCTGATACTTGCGGAAAAGTAAACCATTTTGTTTGACAAACGGTTGTTCCGGATGCTCAAAACGATCTCCGTAGTCTGGGCAATTGCGATATCCAGCAGCGAACTCTCTGCTAATCGAATCAGACCAACCGAGCGAGCTCCAATTTTGAGCGTGTTGGGTCACATTGGTGGCCACAACAATATTCTCAGCCGCAGCGACGGTACGTGGAGTTTCCACTGGTACATGTCGGTAAGCTTGGGCTAAGGTCGGAACAGGGCGCGTGTAGTAACCAGCAGCAACATCCTCCCCACGAAATTGAGGGCGAGAGGGTGGTCGAACCAAATGTTGGTTAAGACTGCGGTAGTCGGTAATCACGCGTCGATTCATCAGGTTTCGAGCTGCACGGGTGTGGCAGCGCGTGGTACACTGATGAAACGAAACCGTATTGATCGCATGCTCCGAAGATTGACGCGACAACGCATCGGCAACCACATTGAGGTGTCCCTTAACGTGATGCAACTTGAACGTAAACTGTGCGAAAAACGTCAAATAGCGAGCTAATTTTGCTGAAACCTTCGGGTGGTGCAAAAACCATTTGCAAGCAGTGTTGTCCCTGTAGATATCAAATTCACGACCATATAGGTAGTGACGCCACTTGTCTAACGCACATTTAATAGCGAAGAGTTCTTTCTCGTGTGTTGGCCAATTAATCTCGTGAGGACCAAGTTTCTTCGAGAAGAAGGCTATCGGATGATCTTGACCGGAACGAACTTGAGAGATAACGCCACCAACACAGTAGTTAGAGGCATCTGTTGTCACGATGAAACATTTCTCGTAATCCGGTAACTGCAACACGGGTGCTTCTTGAAGAGCAGATTTGATTTCCTCAAACGAACGCGTCTGTTCTGGACCCCAGCTCCAGACATGTTCTTTCTTGACAAGAGAACCAAGAGGCAACGCAATAATGGCGTAATCACGGATAAAGCGACGGTAATAACCTGCGAGACCCAACAAGCTTTGTAGTTGCTTTTGGTTTAGTAGCGTAGGCCACTTTGCAATCGCTTCAGTCTTGCGAGTATCAACAGCAAGTCCTTTGGCAGAAATCGTATGGCCGAGAAACTTAACTTCGGACTGACCAAAGTGACACTTCGAGAGATGACAGAACAAATTCTCACGACGTAGAACCTCGAAGAGAGTTTGAAGATGCTCAACATGCTCTTCCAGACTGGTGGAAAAGACACAAATGTCATCCAAGTAGACAACAATGAATCGGTACTTCGCAAAGAGTACCCTCATGAGGCGAGACCAAACACCAGGCATACCGGCCAATCCCATAGGAGCTACACACCACTGGTAAGTTTCAGCGTGCGTGCGAAAGGCAGTATACTTGCGACTCTTGAGCGCGATACGCATCTGGTGATATCCTTGAGCCAAATCTAGAACTGAAAAGATGACACACCCAGACATCTGATCGAAGAGTTCGTCGATGCGAGGCAGTGAAATCTTTGGAACAATCGACTGCGAGTTCACATAGCGATAGTCAATGACCCAACGGATAGGCAAAGTCGAGTTTCCAGAGCGCACCCACTCAGAGCGAGACAGCTGATGTCCAGAAGTAGGATCTTTCTTTGGAATCCCAAAGATGTTGGACACCCAAGAAGAATCAGAAACTTCGATCCATCCGTTCTTTTTCTCTGCAACGAAGAGATCCAGTGCATCCTGCTCAACCTTAGACATGCGGAACGGAGCACGGCTACTTGGAACAGCATCAGGTTTCATGTGGAGTTCGAAATCCACACGACGTCAAGGCGGTAAACCATCCGGTAAAGTTTCCGGAAAGACGTCAGTAAAACGCTTCAATAAGTGAGTGATCGGATCAGGAGTCGACTCACTAACTGACATGACCGCACAAATTTTGACACGGTACACTTCCTTGTACACATGTTTCTTCACGTTACGTTTAAAGTCAACAGCAGCAATCTCCACAGCTGCTTGACTAGCAACCGTTGATGGAGGTGCACAAGACACACTTGGAAACGAAATCTCATGCGAACGCCAATTGATACATGGCTGAAACTTGGTAAACCAAGGTTTTCCCAAGATGACATCATGGGCAGATCCAAGTGACCATTCCATGACTTGAAGTTTGCGGAAACAGTAGCGACCGAATTCAATAGTCGCTTGACCTTTCTTCACAGAACGCGCTTTCGTAGAAGTTCCATCGAATCGAGTGACTTGTGAGACACCAGACGTAGCGGTGTTAGCGACTAAACCTGGGCGAACAACATTGCACGTAGCACCACTGTCGAACATGATGACGACAGGTTTCCCATCACAAGTCCCTTGTTTACGAATGAGCTCGTTCTCACGATGCATGGACGACAAGGTGGACGTGGAAATCTCTTCCACTTCAACAACCTCAACCTTGTCATCGGAACGGGTCATAGACACTCGTTCAGCAGCAGCAGTTGTAGGAGAAGAAGAATTAAAGTTCGCGGCAGATTGCTCGTGACGGTTCTTTCGAGCATACTTCTCCTTGTTCTTCAACTTGAAGCACTGCTCAATGACATGGCCCGACTTCTTGCAATAACGACATCGCTTGTTAGACGACGAAGAAGAAGCAGAACGGCGATTTCTAGTACTCCCTATGTCAGTTTCCATTGGCTCGGGTTCGTTCTCCTGAACACGCATAGGCGTGGCTTGCTTTTGGTGCGAATTGTTGTTGGACTGAGAGCGTGATCGGCCTGCGAAAAGATCGGTGGACGATAGTTCTTACCGCGGACATGATGCGATCGATCATACTCCAAAGCAATCTTCATTGCTTGCGACACTGTTGTACAGCGACGATATTGCACCTCTTCGCGCGTAGGACTGACTAATCCACGTGTGAAGTAAGTGATCTTGTCCAACTCACTCATGTCTGTCACTTGCATGATGGCTTCACGGAAGCGAGAGATGTAATCTTCCAAGCTAGAGCAATTTTTCTGCGTAAGCGCGTACAATTGATCACGCAAACGCTTTGCAAATCCGGAGGCACAAATTCATCGGTCAACCTGGCCATAAGGTCCTGCATGTCCTTGATATCACGCTTGTTCAGCTTGTACCAAGCGGCAGCATTTCCTTTAAAGTTCGCAGTAGTAATGGCCAAAATTCGAGAACTTTGGTTGTCGTTTTGCCAATCGATGTTTTTGGCATCAAAGTACTGAGCAAGTTGCTCAAAGTACAAATCAACATATTATCCCATCGTGCCATGAAATTCAGGCAGACGGATACCTTCCACTTTCACTTCACGCTTACTCATGGCTTCAAGCAGTTGTTGCTGCTTGTCAACCATTTCGATGAGTTTCTGCGTGATAGCGTCAGTAGACCATCCTTGAAGATTCAAGGAAGTCATGGTTGATTGTCGAACAATTCAGTGATGAAGTGCCGAAAAAGATAGTCGGGTACAGGTGGACAGCGACAAGGGGTGCAGGTACTGACTGATCCGGTTCTTATAGACCAGACACTTACAGTACACACGCAATCAACGATAACGTTGATGAGGGATGCGACGTTAGGTACGGGTACTAACTTGATCCGGTTCTTATATACCAGACGCTTAGTGCAGTACACACGCAAGCATTCAATACGGCAAGCCGTATGAAATGAGGTCGCAACGAAAAAATCCGACGAATGTGGAGGCGAACAACGACGACACACGCTCAACGAGCGGCTTTCCACGTGTCGCGTAGCGAGTAGAGAATGAAGAACCCCCTCCCGGACGAAAAACAGCAAGTGCTACCAGATGTGACGACTGGTGAGAGCACGGCGCAGAGGAACAGCGACGAGGAACGAGTCGCGTGGCGAGGAGCGAAGCGGAGGAGGGCGGCGAGAGTCCAACGAAGGAGACTCGAAGGTAAGGCGTAGGAGGCAGTTGATGTGCCTCGAAGAAGGTAAATTGGAAAGTGAGATTGAAATGGTTAGTTGTTTGTCGGCTACGAGGAAGTGCTTGTTAGCATTCCCTTGGTATCCTATGTAAGTATATGCATTTCACTATACTAGATTCTAAGTAGTCCTTGAGTCGAATCTTGAAGTAGCGTAGCGTAGTAGTGAACCGCGGTTCATTTGAACCGGGTCAGAATCTCCATAGTGAATTCAAATGAAACAGAATGACTGTCATTGAAGTTCCATGTTTGGCAATACTCGTCCAAACATGGTGATTGCCTTCCGGTCAGGCGTGTGTCTGCCTGGCCGTTCATTGGCAACTTAAGAAGACAGTTGGCAGTCAGCAAAGACAAGTAGGAAAGAAAATAGAAGAAAGTAGGACGCATTGGTACCAACGTCATGGCCATCGCTGGCTGTGACGTTGGTGCGTCGTTACATCAGGAATTTTGTCAAGGCGACTTATGTCGTCGGAGCGCAAACAAAGTTTGCTCTATATTAGTATAGCGAAAGTATGGAGAAGTATTATTGCGATTCGACAGACTTGTCCTATGGACATCTGTCTCGATCGACGTTGAATATATTGATGAACCTGAGTGCGATTATGTTATTGATAACAGCGAGTACTCTACCCCTCCTAAAGTAGTAAGGAACTCTGCACAAAGAAAATGAACCATACCACTTGTGGCCAAAAGAGGAAGTTGACGATAGCAGCACCAATAGCGTAGTTGAAAGGCTGGCCAAAGCAGTTGGCCGAGTTCAACGCCCCCACGTACATGCCGATGTCCACATCCTCGCCCATCACGTGGATGACAACCGGCACGATGCAGGAGAACCAAATCGAGGAGGTCATACCCGTGATGGCAACCACGAAGACATCGAATCCCTTGTTGTCGACCCACGCCATGACCATAAGGAGCATCTGCGGGATAGTCGACATCGTGAGGACCCATTTGAGACCGAATTTGCTCACCAAGAGTGGAATGCACCACGAGTAGACGTAGCCTACTATATTGTAGAGAAGATCAGCAGTCCCACCGGCAAGGCTGACACCCTCGTTGTACGCGTCTTGGGCTTCGGAGCAGGGGTCACAATTATCAGCGTTGGTAGCCGTACCGCCGTACACTTCAAGGCCGAAAAACTGTCCCTTGTTTCCGTTGTATGCCGTGAAGCCGTATAGCACAAAGAATAAGCCAAAAGAGTACACGATCAGCGTAGCGGGTAACGTCTTGATGCCGCGGTATATCGAGTAGAGCGCTCCCTTGACCTGAACCCAGGCCGACGCCTTTTCCACTGTGCTGGGATCGAGCGGGGTCTCATGCGCGAAGAAGCAGGTGACTGTCATACAGATGTCCATAACGACAGAAAGCATACCTAGGAACCAGTGCAGCGTATTGTAAGCGGCTTCGAAGATCTCGATGTACACAGCAATGACAATGGCTCCAAGCGTCGACCAAGCCTGTCCAAGAGCGGCTCCGGTTGTCTGTCTGTCGCCGGCAAAGTCGGCAATAAGAAGCATAGCGGGGGTCTGCACCATGTTGACAGTGATGTCCATCCAGGCATAGAAAATGATTGTGAATACCGACGTCCACGTACGGTCGGTCTCGCCGTCAGTACCGTTTCCGTGGTCGCCAAGAGCGTCACCGATATCGCGAGTGTAGCCCATAGCAATCCAACAGACCACACTGAGGATACCGGCGACAATCAGGTACGGGCGAAGTCGTCCAAGACGCGATGTGGTGCGGTCACTAAACACACCAACACTGTGTCCGACAATGACACCGGCGACGAAGCCAATGAATTGGGTGAGCTGGACCGCAGTGTTTGGCAGCATCGTCGACAAGTATGGGCCCAGCGCAGCCCACTGCGCCGCCCAAGCCATCTGAACAGCCATTCGCGGCATTGACACCGCTAGTAGGAGCCAGATCGATGGATGCGGTAACGGCTCCTCGTTACCGGTCGCGGTGACTGAGCCAGGCTTGGGAGACGCGTGAAGCTCGTAACCGGGGGTGGCCGCTTCAATATCCTTCATGGCGTTGTACGCTCAGACGATCAGGTGAATTGGCTGTTTGTAGTTGGAAGCAAATCGTAAAATGAACGATTGAAATGCATCAAAGATTGAGTCAAAACGTGTCGAAGGTACTGCTGAGGGGAGCCAGAGGAGACCTTTACCTTTTATCATCAAATATGATGTTGGTTTTCAGGTAGATTTATGTGCAACGTCGAATTTCTGGCACATGTACACATCAGATGGTACATGTATAGAACGAGAGCATTAACGTCTGTGGCTTTCTAACGGATCGGCCCTGGTTCATCTACATTTAGGATAGTTGGCTACGTTGAGTCGTGGACCTCTATCTTATCACTTTTTGTTTCCATCCGACAAGCGGTGCCTGCTTTGACGAGACTCAATTTTGCCAGTTGTGCCATTTTGCAAGCAGTACTATGGGTAGAAAACCGCCAAACTGTCCTCCTCACGTTGCTCATTAACCTTCAACGTATTTTACCCCCTCAAATGAGAAAGGTCTTAAACTAACGCTTACATGACGACACTCCTAATTAAAAGACAAAAAGATCGATAAGCGTTTTGAACCAGTCCAGCCAGGATACTATAAAGTTGTTTCAATGTCGAAAGGGTTACATTCAGGGGCCTCCTTTTGCGTTTGCGATGTTATCGAAATACCACCTGTGAAGCTCTCCAAATTGCACATACTTCGAAGTATCAGGTTCGCTGTCACGATTTGCTTTTAGCATCAAACCAACTTGATGGCTCCATATAAAATGGAACATATTTGACAACCTACATGCTACAGCGTTCATACTCGTGAGAGTGTAAATTTACATAATTTACAAGAACGTGACGTGTGGCACAAAGTTGCGACGGAAGCTGTGTATGAATTCAATACTAAGCTTCTGGCCACGACGCATTTGATTAGACTATAGCTTCAAGTTCAAGTGCTGAAACGCCTCCACTCAAAGGCGATTGCCGGCAAGAAGGGATGCTCAAATGCTGGGCCTAAGATTATACTCAAGAATGAGAGTCCATGCAAGTTGAAGTAGCAATAACGAGCTAGCGACGTTATATGAGTGGTCTCAGCTGTATGCACCACTACGCTCTGGATATCCCGTAATGACGGGAATTGTTTGGTTAATGGGCAAAGGGGGTCGCTGACCTAGCAATTACGAGCGCTTGTATGATGAATCGGCGCCACCTTCATACGAAGCAACAAGACATCTGATTCTATTTCACCAGGAGTGTCTGCTAGATGTCAGTGTAAACTGCGTTCGGATGTATCTGTTTTTCTAAGCATGGCGAAACCCCTTGAAATGCAGTGCGGATACGACCATACTAAATTGCATATTGCATATAAATGCATTACGGTACGAGAGAGTTGGGCTGGGTGCAAAAAAACCCAGCGAAATATGTGTTATTGTTTCCAGAGGCTACTGGAACGACGGGATTTGTTTTCAAAATCAGGAACAAAGGGTGTAATATCGAAATATGACGGCATGACTCTGCACGGTTCGGCTAACCGGCGTGACGTTCCAAGATGGACCGTTCCCAAACCGGTTAACAAACCGGTTAATCAGGTGAATGGCCGGGAGCACTGACGTTTAGAGGACATATTTAATTGACTCAAATCTACTCACTTCGGCATTTGCCTTTAACACCAACAACAGCTTAACAGCCGCAAACGCTCAGCTCTACCGGAACGTTCCAAAACGTGACGACGATTAAGCGCGCCGAAGTCCTCCTCGGGAGTAGGAGCTACTTTCACTGGGAGTACAATATGCGCATGGCGCTAGCCGGGAAGGGCCTGCTTGCGCATATTCAAGCCATCAAGCCGGAGAACGAGATCACCGAGGAGTGGCTCGTCAATGATGCCAAGGCGCTCGGCATCGTCGCTCAGGGAGTGGAACTCCAGCATCAGACCAAGATTCGGTCGGCCACTCGTTCCATAGAAGCTTGGGGAACGCTGCGAGAGTTCTACAACCGCACAACGCTCCACAACCGCGTGACGATGATGCGTCGCCCCCACCGGTTTAAGATGGAGAGTGGATCGACTATGGCCAAGCATCTGGATGCGTTTGACGAGCTGGCCAAGGGTGTGACGCTCATTGAGACCAATGAAAAGCTGTTAAAGGAGTACGAGCGACTCGAGATAAAGGAAATCACGGGGAAGACATTCCAAGTGAATGGGAGCGCAGGCAAGTTCCGGAACGGCCGAGGGAATGGTCAAAAATGGAACCATCGAAAATGGAACGGTCCGAAACGGAACGTTGGTTTCAAAGGCAAGTGTTTCAACTGTGGCCAAGTGGGACACATCAGGTGGGACTGTCCGGCTGCGAAGAAGAGCAGTCAAGGCGATGCATTGTTTGTAGTTGGTGGGTAACGCTCGGCCGGGTGGCTGATTGATAGTGGTGCAACGTCGCACATGACCCCTTACCGGAACGACCTATTTGGGTACGAGGCACTAGACAGTGGCATCAACGTGACGATTGCAGATGGTAAGAAGCTGCGCGTCGCAGGAACCAGAACGGCCAAGTTGACTGGTTTGGATGGTAAACGCATCCGAGTGGTGGACGTGCTCCACATTCCGGGGCTCGATAGACGGTTATTGTCGGTCGGGAAGCTCGCGAAACGAGGCATGAGCGTGGGGTTCCAGCGTTCCAGCTGTGTAAATTGGGGACGGAACGCTGCGATAGCGTCAGGAAGAAGGCCGGTAAGGCGTTCCTGCTGGACTGTCAGCAGGAGGTGGCACACTTCGTGCAATACGCCGGTCCTGACAGAGTGGGAGCTCTGGCACGCTCGCATGGGTCACCCTAACAAGGACGCGCTGACGAATACTCAACGTTCCACAATTGGTATCCCTCACGTGAAAAATGGGAACGAGACTTTGTGCGGTGGATGTATGAAGGGAAAGCAGACCGTGACGACGTTCCCGTCACGATCGCTAACGAGAACGACGCGTGTGTTGAAACTAGTACACATGGACGCAATGGGCCCAATGTGAACTATCTCAAAGGGTGGTGCCAAATATGTTCTGACGTTCGTAGACGACTACTCAAGGTTTGTCGCTGCGTACTTTATGAAGAGCAAGAGCGAGGTGGGTAGTAAACTGAAGGAGTTCAAAACATTGTACGAAACCCAGTGGGGGGAACGTCTAAAATGTCTTCGTTCCGATAATGGAACGGAGTTCGTGAGCAAGACAGTTTTGGAACTATGCAAACGGAACGGTATCGTCCATCAGCGTAGCGTTCCATACAGCTCTCAGCAGAATGGAGTGGCGGAACGCATGAACCGTACCATCATGGAGAAGGCAAGAAGCATGCTGCACTACAAGTCTATGTCGACGCAGTGGTGGGCGGAAGCGGTTAGTACTGCAGTGTATCTCATCAACCGTTCCACGAACACATCAAACTCTGATGTCACGCCGTACGAGTTGGCGTTCCAGGTGAAGCCACGGATGGAACACCTACGTGTTTTTGGATCACAAGGGTACGCTCATGTGGACGACGTGTTGAGAACGAAGCTGGAGCCCAAGAGCTTCAAGTGCACGCTCCTTGGGTACGCTGAGAACGTGAAAGGATATCGTGTGTACGACATGGATACGTCGAAGGTCAAGGTGACACGTTCGGTCAAGCTGGACGGGCGGAATCTATGACACGCAGTCGCCAGCTTCAGGAACGATCATCCATGTGACGAAGAGCGATGAAACGATCGTTCCAATATCTGAAGCGGAACGTCAGCCTGCTCAGGATGAACCGATGGAAGAAGCAGAGGAGCCTGCTCAAGACATTGAGATGGACGATCTAGAACCGGAACGGAACGCAGAAATACAGCAGCTACCCGCGCCGGAGGAACCCAGGTTAAATGGGTTGGATTTGGCAACGTTCCATTCGCAGCCTCCATCGTTCCATGAGGACCGGATGATCTTCCATCCTGAAACGGAACGATCTACGCGCCCTCGTGAGCCGTTACTTCTACTTGGGAATGGTGACGATGAAGATGTGGAACGTGGAAGTGATGGACCGCCATCTCCTAAGCGTGCCAGAATCGACGAAGATGGTTTGCTCGCACAGGCAGTGTTGGCGTACGCGGCCAGCATTGGTGGCGTTCCAGATACGCCTAATACCTACGCAGAAGCTATTGCCAGTGATGAAGCAGGAGAGTGGCGTCGAGCTATGCAGTCAGAGCTGAATTCGCATTCCCGGAACGGAACATGGACGCTCGTTCCACGTGGAACGACAACTCGTTCCATTGGATGTCGCTGGGTGTTCACGAAGAAGCGTGACGAGAACGACCGGGTTATCCGTTAGAAGGCACGCCTAGTAGCGCAGGGGTTCAAGCAGAAGTTTGGAATAGACCTTTTTGAGACGTACTCCCCAGTTGCGAATATGAACTCGATTCGAGTTGTACTCGCTGTTTGCGTTACGTGCGGCTACATTATGGAGCAACTGGATGCCGACACAGCGTTCCTAAACAGTGGTTTGAAGGATTTGGTTTACATGGACGTTCGATTTGGTCTCAAGAATGCTGAAGGCATTCAGTGCAAGCTGCTAAAGGCCATCTACGGCTTGAAGCAAGCTGCAGGTGCATGGAACAAGCCTATTCATCGTGTGTTCCTGCAGAGCGGTTTCAAATGTTGTGGAGCCGACTAGTGTGTCTACGTCAAGCGTTCCAAAAACGCATTCGTGTACGTATGTCTATATATGGGCGACATGATCATTGCGGCCAAGACGCGCGACGAAATTCGCGAGGTCAAGGACGCCCTGAAGAGCGCATTCAAGATGAAGGAGCTTGGCGAGGACAAATTCATTTTGGGAATGGAGATTGACCACGATATAGAATGTGGAGCGTTGATGATCAAGCAAACTCGGTACATTGAAGACATTGTGGAA